TGCTGCATTCATTGTACTGATCCTTACTTTCGTTTTTTGGTAAATTGGAGCTTCCCCAGGTCTGCATATGAGTTTCTCCTTTGATTGTACAATGCTTCTTGGGTAGAGTTTTAGGTCCGGCATTGCTTGTAATGATGCAGGTAGCCACTGGTCCAACTGCCCCACTGTGCTCTTCTGTGGCTTGTCTAGAGACATCATCAAGCTCCTTGAAGAATGTGGCGGGTCGGTCCTGGGCTCCATGACCCTGGTGCACTGCCAGGTGCCTTGAATACATTGACATTGACTTTCCTTTCTTTCCACACAGGAAATGCTGAAGGATGAGGTGAGGACCCTCACTTATCGGAACTCCATGTACCACAACAAGCATGTTTTCAAAGATAAAGTGGTGCTGGATGTCGGCAGTGGTACCGGGATCCTGTCCATGTTTGCTGCGAAAGCGGGCGCCAAGAAGGTGTTTGGGGTGAGCATGCCACTCCCTCCCTCACATTGCCTTCCGCAGAGCCAGTCCTGCCCTTCCTAGAAGTACAAGCCCGGGTCTGTCTCTTTGCTGAGGTCACACTCTCATTGAGAAAGTCAAGTGTGACTCTCAGGAAGCAGGGCCACCTCCCATGGTTCCCTGTCATCCATGCACTGCTCCTGGCTCCTCGCCCTGATGACTGCTGACATTTGCAGAGGATTTTTGACTTTTCAGAAACCATTTCAGTGCCATCATTACCTTACAGTGCTTTGTCCCCTGTCAGCTTGGTGACACATGTGTGCTCTGGCTTGCATCTTTGCTCTTCTACACACGAGATGTGTGACTGTGGGCAATCTCCTTTTCTGTAATTCAGTGTCCCCATCTATAAAATGGGCATGAGAACAGTACCTTGCCCATGAGGTGATTGCGAGGAGTAAATGAGTTTTATGCATATGTAAAGTGCTTAGAGCAGTGCCTGGCATATAACAAATGCTCAGTGTTCATATATAGTCAGGATGGGACCCTAGGAGATAACAACAAGAAAACCCTCTTCCTTTGTCTTGAAAGGGCAACTTGATAGACCTAAATTCTATGGGGTGCTGTGCAGCTTTCAGAGGGGCTTTATTCTCTAGTCTGTCCTGAGAACACCAGGCTCCCAAGTTGACTACAGCCCTCCAAATCCCCTTGGCCAACCCCTGCCTCAGAGGCCTGCTCCTAAGTCTTCAGCCGGGAGAGTATTCTTTCTCCATGCCTGACTCAGAAAGCACCTGGGCCTTGGTTATAAGGGTCTTCTGGAGACCTGGGCTGTCCCCAAGGTACTTCTGGTATAGCCTTGACTGGGAAAGTTATGATGCATTCAGCTGGGGCACATGTTGAGAGCACAGGGCCAATCCAGATCCCCAAGGTCAAGTCCAGTCATCATCATGGGTGCTACCCCTCCTANGCCATCCGGCTTGCCGTCGGCAGCTCAGGGCAGCTTGGCTCAAGGTGCTGTGTTCAATCTTAGTTGTGGGTAGGCATAGCCCACCATCCCTTGCAGGAGTCGAACCAGCAACCTTGTTGTTAGGAGCATGTGCTCTCACCAGCTGAGCCATCCTGCCACCTATTGGCAGCGCAGTGGCAGCTCAGCTCTGGCGCAGTTCACTGGCCCATGTAGAAATTGAACCTGCAACCCTGTTGCTCAGAGCTTGCACTCTTAACCAACTGAGCCACTTGGCCGGCCCCCAGCTTTAATGATTTTATTGAGAAAAACAAAGGTATAAAATCAATGACCAAAGCTTCTACCTTATGAAATAGAGAAAGAAGAGCAAATAAAATCAAAGGAAGGAAATAATAAAAATGAGAGCAGAAGTCAATAAACTAGAAATCAAACATTGAAGAAAACCAACAAGGCCAAGAGTTGATTTTTGAAAAGATTGGTTAAATTGACAACACCTAGATAGACTGATCAAGAAACAAAAATTAGAAAAAACACAAATTATAAATAAGTGAAGGCAAAGACATCATTACAGATCATATAGACATTCAACAGGTAATTAGAGACTGTTATAACAATATTATACCCATAAATTTGACATCTAAGCTGAAATGGATAAATTCTTTGGAAAAATACCTTGTCAAAACTGATGTAAGAATATATAGAAAACTAAAATAGGCTTCTGTCCATTAAATAAATTGAATTCATAATTTAAAATCTTCCCATAAAAAGGACTCTAGACCCAGATAGTTTTACTGGTGAGTTATATTAAACATTTAAGGAAGAAAAATACCAACCAATCTCACACAAACCTTTTCAGAAAAGTGAATGAGGAGATAATGCTTCCTAACTTGTGTGATGAGCTCAGCACAACTAATTATCAGAGAAGATAAGAGAAAGTTACAGATCAACATCCCTCATAAATACAAATACAAAAATCTGCAACAAAATATTAATAAATAAAACTCAGCAATATTTAAAAAGATGATACATCATGACAAAGTGTTGGTTCAACATTAGAAACAAATCTATGGAGTTCAGCACATTAACAGAATAATGGAGAGAAGTCATAATCATCTCAATAAATGTAGAAAAATCATGTGACAAAATTCAACACCAACTCATGACAAAAACTCTCAGCAAATTAGAAATAGAAGATAACTTTTTCAGTCTGATAAAAGGCATTTATAGAGCACTCACAGCTAAAATTACACTCACAGTTCATGTTCATATATCACTGGAACAAAGGAAGGATGGCTGTCTTTCCCAATTCTATTTAATGTTTTACTGAATGACCATCTTTGCCAGTGCAATACAGCAAGAGGAAAGAACAAAAAATAAAAGGCATACAAATGGGAAAAAAAGAAGTAAAATTGTATTCATTCACAAGTGACAAGATTTTTTTTTTACATACAGAAGGACAAAGAAATCTACAAAATAACCCTAACAGAATTAATATGTAAAGTGAACAAGGCTGCAAAATACAAGGTCAATATATACACTAACATAAACTATTGGAAAATAAAATTTTAAAAATATCATACACAATGCCATAAAAGAAAATATTAATAGTTAAGAATAAGTTTAATGAAAAAATACCTCTATACTGAAATCTATAAAACATTGCAGAAAAAAATTAAACAAGACTTAAATAAATAAAGAACTGTATCTTGGATTGTAAGACTCAATATTGCTAAGATACCAATTCTCCCCAAATTCATCTATAGATACAATGCAATTCCAATCAACTTCAGAAAGGTGTTCTGTATGAATTAACAAACTGCTTCTAAAATGTACTATATGAAAATGCAACAGATCTAGAAAAACCAAGATAATCGTGTAAAAGAAGAACTAAGAGGGAAGACTCACACTACTTTATTTCAAAGTTAATATAAAACTAAGGTAATCAAGTCAGTGTTGAACTGGTATATTAATGGAATAGATCAGAGAGGACATATACATATATTCAATTGATTTTT